GTGTATGGACTATGTTAAAAATTAGTATCTGGAAGAGAGGGGGAGGGGAGAAAAAGGTTATGTTCACCACAAAATCTCAAGAAAGACTTTATTATTAGTTTCAGTTGATAAACTACATGTAGAAAAGACCATTTTTGTTTCTACAAGACCCCTAAACTCCTTTCCTAGGATCCGTAGCTGTGAGCTTTGAGTCCTTTTGAAACCCAATAATGAGGTGATTTGAGAATAAATGTTCTCAAAACAGTAGTGGGTTAATTTGGGAATGCAAAAATCTGGTACAAGATTCATGCTAAAAAAATTTTATAGTTTCAGTACAAAAAAGCTTGCTATTACCTGAGCTATTCAGGACATTTTTCATGTTTGAAGAACATGATGCCTTGGTTTGGCAGTGATACTTACCATTTATTGTTTTGTTACTCTTTCCTTTGCTCTCCCTTTCCTTTTTCAACTTTCTCTTTCAACTTACCTTTAACATTTTTTTTTTCCTAAAAGGACAAGGGAAAGGGTGGAGTAAAGACATTTTCTTTTTATCTCTTTTTTTCTTTCAAATGGTACTCTAATTGTTTGGCTAGAAAATAAAAACATGTGTTTGTTGTTACTGATGTAGGTTTTCAAATTCTATTATGCCATTCCAGTGTATAAAGACCAAATCTCAACATTCTTACTGACTAAATATTGGCAGTACTGTCTGTATGCAGATGCTGGAGGGAGATCTGGAACAGATTATCAGCTAACTTTTAGAAATAAATAGAGCATGCACCATCAATATTTCATGTAAAAGTGAACGTTTTATATTGGCATCTCGAACAACTGAAAAACTTCTCCAGATTAGAAGTCAAGGTGGGAGAATGTCTTGCTTTACTCATTAGGAGTACTAATTGACCTACGGATGCTGAAACACTCTCTTAAATTCTAGCGTTCTTTCTTCGAGCTGCACAGAGGTAACAGTGAACCCCTTTTTGTGAAACGCAGTAGAATTTCTTTCGTTGTATAGGGATAACAGCAAGGTTCCACTTGCCTGTGAAGAGCAGAGAGGACAGTAAGTCTGAGTTCATTGCATACCATTTGTGTGCAACTACTCGATTGGCAAATTGAGCTCCCAACATCTTTTTTGCTCTCCCAGAGCTGTGGGTCATTAGAATGGTGCCCTCAAAGCAGTGGATTTCAGGGAATTTAATGTAAAAGAACTCTAATTTCTAGGAGCTATTTTAAGCTGTTGACAGGCTGCACTATGTGGGCTTCAATCAAGTTATAAGTTGCTCTCTTTAAAAAAAAAAAAAAGATTCCAGTAAAGCTCTACTTTTTTATTCGGCACTAGACTTGTGCTCTTTTGTTCCACCTTCAGGCTATTAAAATTTACTTGTTGCTACCTCACTCAGTGTAATACAATTGTTTTTACTAGTGAATATACATTCCTAGGCTAGTTGGGAAGTTTGACTGCTTCAACAAATTTAGTCTTGCACTCTTGATTTATATATATCCTCTAGATTAGTACTAGCATCAGCTGAAAAAGACAAAAGTTATAGAGCTTTGTATATTGTTTGCAAATGACTAAATGGTATGTGATGCAACACAGAGTGAAAGTGAGGCATATTTCAAGCTTCAGTGAAGTTGAAACAGATGGATGGGTTTGTGCTGTAAGTTTTTCAGTATTTGAGCTTGACTTCTGTCCTTTGACTCTACATATTCTAATCCCTGCAAATGGAATTAGTGAAGTGTTGAATGGGGGGGGGTAAAAAGAAACCCTGATGTCCCAAAAAATAACTGGATTTATTGTTCGTTATAGAATGGTAACTATCAGGCTTTCGTGCTCAAGTTTGTTGTTCATGCTGTGCTTATTGTATCTTCATCAACTCAGCACAAATTCTAGTGTGTTTGCCTCTTACAATATGAATATGTGATAGAACTCTCTGCAAGTTATTGTTGCATAATTTTTGATGTGTGTCATTTTCTAAACAATAATTAAGAATTGACAGAATTTTAAAGGATTAAGATCAAGTGTTTAAGAAACATAGCAAATAAAGGAAAGTATTTTTCATTTATGTTATAGTAACCTTATGCTTAAAGAAAATGTAAGCCCCTTATATTCTAAATATTGTAATTGCACAGTAGGATGTTGAGTAAGTTTAAACTAGATTAGAGTTGCATTTTTAATTATTTCAAATTCTTAATCTTGTTTTGAGTATAGCTTCTCTATCCTTCAAAACATTTTCTTTAAACAATGTAAAGTTAATGACATACACTTAATGGCTCGGTGACCTAAGGCATAATCCTGAAGCACACAAAGCCTTGTAAATGTCTATGTATATAGTCTTACCTTGCAGTAAATGTTTCAAGTACAGAGCAGATTAACACTTAAAGATTACAATTCTTGACAGTCAGGCTGGCTAGTTCTTGCTGTTAAATTGTGTAAGCATAGAATGGTTTGAGTTGGAATGGACCTTATAGACCATCTAGTTCCAACACCCCTGCCATGGGCAGGGACACCTTCCAGTAGACGAGGTTGCTCAAAGCCCCATTCAACCTGGCCTCAATCTTTATCTGCCTTTCTTTTTCAGGCTGTTACCTGGCACAGAGAAATTGCAGTTTGGGAGTGAGGGACAACTGGGAAAATTGGGTATTTGTCACTCTGGAAGGGAATACTGAATTTAAAGTAAAACTATATATGTACATACATATTAAGTCAGCAAGAAAAACTATATTTCTGTAAATAGAGTATTTTTTTCCAAAAAGACTGTAGGTGTGTTCACCTGGCCAACTGCACTATCATGAAGAGGTACTTAAGTTGCATCTCAACAATAAAAAGCTGGAGTCTCTTAGCTTGTATGGATGAAAACGGTATCTGATGAAAGTGGCATAAATTGTGACTGAATTTTGTGGATGAAGGGCCATGTGAAAGGAGGTTTCTGGGAACGTATTCTTTCTCTCTGTCTAAATCTGAGATTTTTAGTTGGAAGAAAAATACAACTATCCGGGTCAAACCTGAACTGTAAGATTTAAACAGGCTTGTTTTAAGATGCAGAATGCAAACTTAATGAACAAAGTGGCTGTAAACCTCTTATTCGACAAATCGTTCCTCTTATCTATATATATAGCAACATTTATTTTGTGATGTTTCTTGCTTTTTTTTCTCCTGATTTTTGTGCTGTAGTGCCTGTTGAGCTCAAATTTATTTGAAAATCCTAATATATTGTAATTATCTGCTCTGTGCAATACTTTTCAACATCTTTGATATAATCTGGTAGACTTTCCAATGGAACTGAGGAAAGAACTGAAATTTGACCTGTAACCAGTGATTCCATTGAATGTGGATGTCATAGAATCATTAAGGTTGGAATAAACCTCTAAGATCATAAGGTTTAACTGTCAACCCAACGCCACCATGCCTGCTAAACCATGTCCTGAAGTGCCATATCTGCATGTTTTTTGAACCCCTCCAGGGATGACTCCACCACTCCCCTGGGCAGCCTATTCCAATACCCAACAACCCTTTCGGTAAAAAAAATTTGTCCTGATATCCAGTCTAAACCTCCCCTGATGCAACTTGAGGCCATTTCCTCTCACCCTATTGCTAGTTACTTGGGAGAAGAGATTGACACCTGCCTCACTACAACCTCCTTTCAGATAGTGGTAGAGAGCAGTAAGGTTGCCCCTCAGCCTCCTCCAGACTAAACAGCCACAGTTCCCTCAGCTGCTCCTCGTAAGACTTGTTCTCCAGACCCTTCACCAGCTTCATTGCCCTTCTCTGGACAAGCTCCAGCAACTCAATGTCTGTCTTATAGTGAGGGGCCCAAAACTGAACACAGCACTCCAGGTGCAACCTCACCAGTGCCAAGTACAGGAGGACGATTACCTCCCTACTCCTGCTGGCCACACTGTGCCTGATACAAGCCAGGATGCCGTTGGCCTTCTTGGCCACTTGGGCACACTGCTGGCTCATGTTCAGCCGGCTGTCAGCCAGCACCCCAAGGTCCTCTTCTGTCAGGCAGCTTTCCTGCCACTCCTCCCCAAGCCTGTAGCGCTGCATGGGGTGGTTGTGACCCAAGTGCGTGACCCGGCATTTGGCCTTGTTGAGCCACATACAGTCGGCCTCGGCCCATCAATCCAGTTTGTCCAGATCTCTCTGCAGAGCCCTCCTACCCTCAAGTAGATAAACATTCCCACCCAACTTGCTGTCATCTGCAGACTTGTTGAGGGAGTACTCAATTTCGATATACCTTTGCTATGAGACTAGGTTCCATGCTTCCAAGACTAGGAGGTGGAGTTGAACATGCAGAATCAAGTGCAGTAGTGTTCTTCAGTACTGTAGATTTCTGGCAACTTATGCTGTATGGGTATGTGTTGACAAACGTGGAGTTGGACATTGGTGCAACAAGGAAATGGCTTTATTTTGTGAGTAAATGGAAATCTGACATTTGCCAAAGAAAGATCTGAAATGCTTTCTATTCCAGATTTAGGTGTGAGTATATTGAAGCTTATTTTATATTATCTATCACTCCTTTTCGGTGTTACTATTATGGTTTCCTCTATCTATAAATTGGTGAAGTGGGGAGACTCATCCTATACTTGGCATTTATGAACTGATGTCTCGGAGATGAGGACCTGTAGAAGTATGGTGATTGACTATAGTAGCCATGACAACTACTCAAAATGGTAGAGTCTGCACTCTATCAAAAGAGGGGGCTAACTTTGACAGAAAATCTTAGGCTGGAGCCTTATAAGTTAATGTGTAACTTCTCAAATGAGATAAAAAAAGATTTTTTTATATTTTTTTAGGACTTTAATAGAATAATTTATTAGTATTCTTGAACACCTTTACACTTTGTAAATGAATACTTCATAAATATTTTTTATGGGAGTGTACTCATTTTTTTGTATTTTATGTGCTCTAAAGGCTTTCAAGACAGAAGAATGGGGGAACTTATTATTTTAGTAGTCTTGCAGGTGTTGTCTTTTACTTTTGTAAATAATTAAAGCTAATGCCAGATTGCTGTTTGCAGGTGAAGCAATCTTCAATCAAATCTCAGTTTGCGTGTACATATAAAAATGATTTGAGTGAAATAAAAAGTCAGCATTTCCTCAGCAGTAACCAAATTCCAACCTGCCTACATCCTGCACCAAAGCAATGTCTAAAAGATAGATATCTCACAGGTAAGCTGTAGTAGGATTGAGTAAGTAAATGTGATAACTGATATTTCAAATGTTATCAAACAAGGCTTTAGTAAAACTCAAGCATAAATTTGCTTTCAAGAAAAAAAGGCTGCCTCGTTGTGCTGTGCATGCTATGATCAGTTAAATTTGCATTAGAATTGTAATGCTAATACTTTGAAAATATCAATCTGTTTGAAAAATATGTATTGATGCTATCTTGAGGTAAAATAAATTAATGCATTTTACATACATTATGTAATGATTCTTCTTATTTTACAAAGGCAAGCTAAGTGAACTTTGTATTTTTGCCATTCAAAAAAAAGAAAAATTTATTTTACTCTACTATGAACCATATCATATATGTAATTTCTAGGCCATTTAAGCACCTTTTCCAGTATCTTAAAGTTATAAAACCACTTTCCTGAGTTAGTTGCTATTACATGGTTTTAAGCCATGTCATTTTAAATTGGCAGTACACTTATAAACACATAGCAAATGTAACTGCAATGACCAGCATAGTTTTGTTTTACTGATAAAGCACTAATTTTGATTAAAAAATTCACATGACAGTCCTCTGATAGAAAAAGGATGAATAATCCCAGGTAACTTTTTATTGCTTCACATATGTTTTTTTGATATTCTTACATGACAGAAGGCATGAATTCATGTCTTGATGTACCAGTGCTTGGAACTATTTCTGAAAATGTTCACCACACTAGAAGTTATACAGAAATGGGAGAGCTGAGTTGTCAGCCAAGAAACAAGAACTCCGAGAATGAACAGATGGATTTGAATAATGACAAAGTAATCTGTGATAAGGAAAGTGAACCATCTTTGCAAAAAAATGCCAAAAGACCTAAGACTTCAAACAACCCTCAGAAGGAATTGGACAGCAAAATCGATGGAAAAAGAAAACACAGCAAAACTGCAAGCAAGAAAAAGTTGATTGCTGGTCAGGCAAAATTAACTCACTTTTTTAAACTATAAGTTTTTGTTTTGACATACATAGTATGTTCAGCAGTTGTAAAATTTGTGAGAAAGGTTGAAATTCATAAATTCCTTCCTTTCATACTCAAAGTAGTGGAAGTAGTTTGTATGTAATATTAGACAAAATCTCAAGTCTGGATTATGCAGAGGTCTTTTATTTTTTCATAACAATGCATCATTCCTAATTACAGCTGTGTTCTTTGTTTGGTAATGAATTATGTTTCCCCTTACAATGCAATGGGAAAGTATTTTTGGACACGTGTATAGCCACACTAAAACACAGTAACTTCAAATTACATTAAATGCATAATAAAATATTTAATCTTCAAAGAAGGTGGTGTAGATCATTAGTTTTCAGACTTGCCAACAAGGTCGGTAGACTCTTCCCAGCATACACCTGAGCACTACAGGAAAAAGAAATCTGAAAGTTTAAATCATCAAAGCACTAGAATTCTTTATGGCCTCTGGACATTAACAAATGCTTCCTCCCCTGTGCACCAAATCAAAATAGATGCGAACTGGAAATGCAAGATTTCATCAGCCCTAGGAAATCCCAAACGTGATGTGGATTTTCTAAATGAACCTGTATCAAATTGCTATGTAGATATTGCCTTATACTTTACCAGAATGAAAGAATTTTTGTGTAAAAATGAAATATACTTACTGTCAAAATCCCTTCTTCCTATAGGGAATTTAGCTGAATTTTCTTCATCTGCAGTCTCTCTTTCCTGTATTGATTCAGTATTTTGAATTTCAGCGTCAACTGGAAAAGCCATGGCTTCCTTCAGTGCAAGATAAGGTAGTTGCTTTCTACCTAAGTTGATTGGCATAACATGATTTAAGAAATCATGTCTGGAACCTGTGTCCTGTTTTAAGGGAAAACAAGAGTAGAGTTCATCTTCATTTAAAGTCAATTGTGTTCACTTTTTATACTTTATACTTAGCAGTGCAAGTATGTTATCTTTCAAGATGATATTTTGAAAGTAGTGACCTGCATAATATCTTTGGTTGAAATGGTTTTCTGGTAGAGAACATGGTAAAACAAGGAATCTTATTTGGTGAAGTTAAAAACCTGTTGCTGCGCATAGGGACATGCTTAATCAAACATAAATATAGGCTTTTTTCCCCCAGAAGTTTTGGCTACATATAGTCCTGTAAAAATCAGGTTTCTTTTATTCAGCTTTCCAAGTTACGCATTTAAAATCTTGGAATTAGATAAGTTGAAAATTTATTCTTGACTGTAATATGCTAAATGATATATGATATATGGTATTTTTGTACATTCACCAGGTTATTGCTTTAAATTATTGTACTTGTTTTCTAAACGGCTATACAGAGAACTTGTATTTTACAATTAAGTGAAAATGTGGAACTGAAAACTCACCCAAAAATTCATTTTTCTGTCATCCTCTTCATCCAAAATACTGCTGTCTTCAGTCTTATAATGCTTCAGCAAAGGTATAGCTCTTCTGTTTGCAGTTCTATCTCCATTTCGAAGATTTTTTCCTAGCTTTAATGTGGTTAGCAGCATATCTTCATCTTCTACCTTTTGCAGAGATTTTGAAATGGAGAGTAGAAAACCTTGAGAAAAAAGAGAGAGAGAGAGAATTAACATGTATGATGACATACACATTCTTAGTTACTTAATGCCTGCATAGAAGTTAAGCAGTTTTCAAATTTTAAGAAAGCTTTTCCAGTTGTAAATTGATATGTTCTTCATCTGTGTCCACTTTATATATTTTACAGATTGAATGGAAGCTACTTCAATAGCTGATGAGTTCAGTCTTCTAAAATGACTCATATTAAGGACTAATCTTTTCTATAATCCTTCTAATCCCATCTGTTGTTTAGAACTACTTAAACCTTTCTTTAGCGTGGGTAGTTTGTTTCTTTGTGTGTTTTTAGAACAGAACAGATTAGTTCCTTTTGATGGATCAGTATATCAAAGTTCACAGAAAAAGTGATGTCTATTTGTGTTGTTTATAAAGCCTTACCTCCAGTGAAGGTGACTTAAGAAAAGGAACTAATCTACATAAGTAAGCACAGGACTGTTGTAATCGTGTGATCTACCAGTTTTTGATTAAAACTGATTCAGTAAAGAGTTAAAATTAAAATTTAACAAGAGTTTATACTGCTGCTGTGTTAGAGCTGAAATCATTATACTTTGTCCATTATGTCATGTTAAATTATTCAGACCTTATGTCTAGAAATCTTTATTAATACCTAAGTAATTATATTTGTCTGCATTCTCTATCTGAAAATGGACCTTTTCCAGATACAATTATAATATAGTCAGATATGCTTGCTAAGAATGTAGAAAGAAAAGTAAACTTCAGTTTTTCATTTAAAAAGTCTTTGAAGTCTATCTGTTACCCTGTGGAAGGAAATGTAGCTAAGAGTTTCTGCATTGCATTTTTTTTTTTTCAGCTTATATGGAAAGCATATGGGACCTGCTCAAATTTAGCTAATCTTTTAATGTCAGTGATATGAACCACCTAATTCAGTGACTGTGTGCCTCATAGCTGGTTCCTATCTCTTAAATTCATGTTTAACCTTTAGGGGAGTGCAGGGGACCAAACATCCTGCTAGGCAAGGCAAACCACTAGGAAATTGAGCAAGAAATGGACTAAGCAGAAAGAGTACTGCTTCCCCCTTGTTTTCCTCTCTCGCTCTCCATTTTGCTTTTTCTGCTTTTTCTCTGCACTGTCACACACTAGGAACAAAGTGTATAATTTTATTAGTGATTTCTAATGGTGGTTCTTTTTTCTCCTTTTTTTTTTTTTTGGTATGGATTTCTGGTGGGCTTTGCCTAGTACTCACCACTGATGTGGTGTGAAGGAGAAAGTAAGGTTGATATTTAATAGCGTAGACAAGTCTACAACACATCAGTGGTAGTCACAGATAGCAAGTATAGAATTTGTCTTTATACTTGTTACAGGGAGTCCAAGGAGGAAATACGAGTGCTGCTGAGAGATGTTGCCTAGTCTTAGGGAAGTATGGAAAGAATAATAAAGATTTTTTTTTTTCTGCTGAAAACAGGCAATAATAGAACGCTAATCCACAGCCTGAGGATGTTATGTAGAACAACTGACCAGCGTTGTTAGAACAGTGGTATTTTTAATCACTGTTCACTGCTAAACTTCCTGGAAAAGTAGTCTGCCTTGCCAAAGTAACTTCTTGGTAAAAAGTTTAATGGGAAAATATTTCCTGCTGGACTAAGCAGATTGTCACTAAGAGATGTTTTGGGTATACCCACTTTTCCCCAAATGAGGAAAGTGCATTTAGTGCTCTCTGGGCAGAGCAGCTCTGACGAATAGAATTAGTGCTTCTCATTCTTTTCATTTCCTTGCTGTAAAGCCTGTACTTGCCTCTGGGTATCTGAAGTGGTTTCTTTTCTTTGACTTTAATTGCCTGGCTACAGAGGAGACATATTTGAAAGTCAACTGTATATGTTTTTATACTTCTCATCCCACTTACCTTTGCTAATTTGTATTCTTCCCTCACATTCAGTATTTGTACAGTTTTGTTCAATTAACAAAGCAAAAGCCGTGTATGCTCTGTAATGGTACTTTTTATTTAGTTCAGCCCAGGTAGAATAGGAGGAGTGCTTTGGAGCCTCCATTGGCAGCAAACCTTTCTCTTTATATGTTGGTATATGAATTAAGAGTTGGGGAACAAGCTATACATGAAATAATTGTGTATGTGGCTAGACCTTCTGCTTATCTGAAGCTATAGTACCCATAGGTGTGTAGCATATATCACACATGGCTTACTTTCAAATACTTCTTTTTCATTTAATACAAAGCACAGTTAAAATAATAATTGACCTGGACCAATTGGAAAGTCCATCTACAGTGTCTATTTGTGTACTATGTCTTTAAGCTGATGACTATAGAAGAATATAAGATCAAGACAAACTTATGGTACTGCTCCCACCTCCCAGTATCCTCTAGTGCTTCTTAAACTCTTTACCAATTTTTAAGGATTATTGAAGATGATAATTAGAAGAACCTCCTAATTAGACTGAGAAGAAATCAAAGGCATATGTCCGCAAATTTAGTGACTTCTCTGCCTGTTCAGAGCAGTAGATAACATTTGTACACCTGCAGATTTGCAATGCACTGTGTACATCTCTTCGTAATGCCTTTGGGAATCCTAGCACTGATATTTGCATTTTTTCTTTTAATCTTGAAACTACAAATTTTAGTAAAAATGGAAAATAATGTAACAGCTTTTTATCATTGTTTACCAATCTGACTTTTCATTTTTGTAGTAAATAACTCAGTGTTGCTTACAGAGCAGTAACAATTATTTTGAGAAATTCTTCTTACCTTCTACATTGCAACTTGTTACAATGAAGATGAACTCTTAACATCTGAAATCTGATGTGGTATATGTGAGGAAATAAAATCTAGGTCATAATGTGCCTGAAATTCGTCTCATGCTCATTTTGAATTCTTCTAGGAATGGCTTACAAAACAATTGTAATAGTTTTATTTGGTCTTGTAACTACTGTAAATGCCATGTACAAGTGTTTGAGCCTAGTATTGACCAAACAATAAATAAAATGGGTCTATCTTATAATGACAAATATGTTTTTTTACTCATCAGAATTGAAAACCTTTGCAATGCAAGAGAGAGTATTTAAGGAGACGTAGCAAATCATTTTACTGAATCCTCAAATAGCACAAAAATACTTGGTCAATGCTAAGTTGCCCGGTAGCATACTACTTCTGATTTTTAAAAGGTGGTGGTTGTTTGTTTTTTAGTGTTAGATTTTGTAGTTTTTATATAAACTGCTGTATTTCAGTCCTTTTTGAGTGCAGTTAGAAGAGATTTGTCATTTGAGTGAAGAGCCACACATACCGAGACTTTGGAAGACTGATTTAAAACCAAACCCAAACTCTTCATAATGTACTTGTTCATTTGTTTGATACTCTAATAGCAAAGAACGCAATGCAGACTGTCTTTCTTCTCCCTACAGAAAGTAAAAGCATGAAGTTATGTGCATGAGATGTATTTCCAGGGCACTTAAGACATTTGAGTGATTTTGAGTAACAACAAAGCATTTTCTTACCTTGATAAATAACTGAATATATTAGTTTTTTTATATTAGGATAAAGAAATTTGTGGCATTTAGTAAGAGATAATTTTGGCAATAGAATTAACAATATACATTGTACATTGTGTCAAAGATTTAGGTGAATCTGTTTTAATTTCTCAGGCATGGATTTTTTTTTTCCTGATCCTTTTTCTTGTGATCTTGGACAGAGTAAAAAGAATAGACTGACGGTATTAATTGCCGATTTGTGCATTTTGTTTAACACTGATACAAATGGAGGTAAAAAATTTCCAGAAAAGATTTATTTACTTGGGAGCTGCAGTTTCTTCTTATGGCTTGAAGAGGAATCCTAGATTTTCTGTACTGGTTTTGGGCTAGCCAGTTGTTTTGCTTCAAGCCAGAATGAAAATAGAATTTAGCAAGAACATTTGACAAGAAGCTGGCTATGGCCAGTCAGTAGGAAGTAATGAGGTTATGAGTTCTATCTGAAACCCCGACCCCTTCTGGGATATTAGCTGTATCACATTTGCCTGTATATTTGCTCATTTTGGACTCAGGATGTGGAACTTTCTCTTGTAGGTTCATGCTCTTTCTTTGTGACCTTAGCACCTCATTATATAGATTTTCTATCTTAAATGCCTAAGTGTTTTAGTTCCAAACACCTCCCATCCTTAATCCAACAAGCAAGTTTTAAAATGGAGATTCCCTGTGCTATTAATGGAAAGAACTTCTAATCAGCAGTTCACGAGACATAACAGAGGTAATTAGTGCACTTCATTATGGACTAGAGGAAATTAAGACTCTTGCCTAGCACCAATTCATTGTGACCACACTGAACTGGTGGTCACCTAGAATCAACAAGTTGGCTTAGCATGAAGTAGGCACTGTGCTGCTTATAATGGGGCCAGCTCTGGACTTGTGCAGGAGCACAGCTCTAAATATTTGGAGAACTTAAAGTTGTCTTCTGTTTAAAGGGCAGTGAATACTACTGCTGATACAGAGCAACTATAAGACTGACCATGTCTTGCATTTGAGAGGAGCAGCAGTTCTGCTATTTGCAACTTGATATGACAGAAGTCTGGGTAAGGTGAAGGAATGTTATTACCAATATGGTTGCAGGTCCTATCCATAAATTTTACCAAAGGTGTATTTGTGTTCCACGCATGTCAGTACAGATTCTTTTAGTGAGCTGACTCCTATGAGTCTGTTTGCGTGATGAGAGTTGACATGCTGCTCACATGGGGCTATAAGATGAATGAATCCAACTCTACAACAATTCCTTTTCACAGACCAGGCATACCAGAAATCAGCAGTTTGTAAAAACCCAAACACTTGGTTGTTTGTTACCTGATTTTTTTTATCAATAACATTCATCTTTATTTAGTTCTTTTTTATGTTGCATTCCGGTTTTAAAAGAATGGCATTTTCATCTGAGTTGTTTCTACTAATGTTTTGTTCTTATGACAGAGTATAAGCCTCAGAGTTTTGAAAGTATTGTTTCTTGTGAAGCAACAACAATGCATTATGAGTCCACAAAGTGTTTTTACACTGCTTTGGATGTGAGGTGTGTT